CTTAACAACCAGGCTCCAAGCTACCTATCTGAGCTTTTATCCCCACACACCACCTCACGGAACCTTAGATCCACATCTGAAAACCTCCTGGCTGTTCCTCCAACCAGACTGAAAACCAAAGGGGACAGGGCCTTTCAGACTATTGCCCCCAGACTTTGGAACAGTCTGCCTTCAAATCTCCGTCTCTCTAACACTGTAGAGGTCTTTAAAAATCATCAAAACACTCACCTTTTCATCCAGGCGTTCCCTCCCTAAATGTTCTAAAAGATGGCTTTTTTAGGGTTCACACCTTCACTTTGTTTTTACTCCTGATTTTATTTACTATTTTATCACTGCTATTGTTTTTCTGATGTTTTTATTGGTTAGAGGTATTTGCCCTGATCTTACTCAAGTTGTACAGCGCTTTGTGATTTATATCTGCGAAAGGCGCTATATAAATAAACTTTTACTTACTTACTTAGAACCCAAAATGCAGAACCCAGGATGACACGAGGCAGGAGTGGATATGAAGAAAAAAAAATCATTTTATTGTAGGATAAACAAAATTAAATCCAAAAAAAGGCAGGTAGCCAAAATCCAAAAATCCAGAACATGAGAACCAAAGCCCACTTAGAGCACAAACTGGGGACGGGACAGGAAACTCACGCAGAGCACCAAAACAACACTGAACAAACAACAATGGACCGACAAGACACTGAGACAAGACAGGGCTTAAATAAACTGGGGCATGATGGGAGGCAGATGAGCTGCAGGTGTGTGGGGAGAGGACCAGGTGAAAGCAATACTTAATCAGGGAGGGAACTCACATGACCTAAGAAAAAACCTAAAAACAAGAAAAGCAACCACATAACTAATATTCTAAAGGGAAGGAAAACTATAAAGACTGGTGGGACAAAACATATAAGAGACTAATAAAATGAAAGGCTGAAACTATAAACACTGCAGAGGGATGACTAGAGAAGACTAAAGGAACACAGGACATAAGAGAGAGATTTTTGGAAGGCTGAAGACCAGGGGACAAATGAGGAGCACAAAGAGACATAAATGAGACGCAGACAATTCAATTCAAAAATACTTTATTAATCCCAGAGGGAAATTGATTGCTGTAGTAGCTCAGAATAATAATAATAATCAAGTCATCAAAGAGTTATTGTACATCACAATGGCTGTTGGCAGGAAGGATCTCCAGTAGTGGTCAGTGTTGCAGCGAAACTGAAGAAGCCTCTGACTGAAGACACTCTTCCGTTGTCGGACAGTCTTGTGAAGAGAATGCTCAGGGTTGTCCATAATTTTCTTGATTCTCTGGATAATCCTTCTTTGCATTATCTCCTCCAGTGGTTCCACAGTCTTCCCCAGAACCAGCCTTTTTTATTAGGCTGTTGAGCCTTTTCAGGTCAAAGGACACACGAGGGCGCTATGAAACACAAAAGGAGAACCTGGAGTGGGAACTGGAGGGGCTGGGGAACAAAGGGAGACAGAACATGACAGACACAATTGTTGCCACAATCCTGCTACGGTCTGACCACTAGTAAATGACCAAGGCTCCCAGGTGCTGGCTCAGGTTTGTGGCAAAATAGCGGCATTGTTTTAACCCTCCCACTGTCTTTATGGGTGACCCCGTGAGGAAAGTTGACCATTGAACAGGATTGATGGTTTATCCCTTGAGGTCCACGTGGCAGGGTTGAGTTGGTGCTCACTCCTCACCCCTGCCACATGGACCCAAGGGATAAACCATCAACCCTGCTCAACGGTCAACTTTCCTCATGGGGTCACGCCCATTAGGACGTGGGAGGGTTAAAAAAAGTGGCTTATGATGCGTTCAAGACATGCAGCTGCTCTCCAGTGGAAATCAACCCATTTGCTCTTACGTCAGCTATTAGCTGCATGACGTGCTTCACAGATTTCATGCGCCACGCTTTTGATGGAAACCCTGCATGGGCGTTAGTTATTTACCAAATGCAGCACAAACAAGCAGTGAAATAAAAAGAGAAAAGGCAACATTGTCATTACCAGGCATGTATGTGTGGGTCTCTCCAGTGAACAAAGAAACTTACAAAGACTTTTATGATGTCTTCCAAACATTTGGATTTATCAAAACATGCATTTTATCATCTTTGAGACTTAAGAAGCATTTATATTTCAGGAGGTGTTCACACGCTTTGCTACACAGGTGCGAACTATGCATCACCCCTTGCAGGTTTGCTTAGATTGTTTTTTTTTTTATTTATACTTTAATGGATTTTTCACAGACTTAACTGTGCAAACTGCTGAGGAGCCGACACCGGTAATACTCCCTACTAGTGTAGTCATGCATCGCTGTGGAGGTGGAATCAGGGTCCGAAATTAACACTCGCCACTCGCCAAATGCGAGCAAATTGCTCCATTTGGCGAGTAAATTTTTGAGCTCTATCTGCCACATAGTGAGTAAATGTTTGCACCAAATTAGTTATGTTTATCAGTCATCTTACGTGGATTTCTGCTACTCCTCCCGCCTGCATGCAACGTACACAGCTTTAATTTGATGATTGCTCTTTTTGGTGAACTCATGATTTGTGTCACTTCTCCTGCTGGACACATGGGCAATCTATACTTCAAACCAGTTGGCTAATCTAGACACCGCTGACATGACTGTATTCCCTTGACATTTACAGTACTGCACCACAATCTGTCCTGTCACCACCTTGATCTCAGTGGGATTCAGCTTCCACACACACCATATGGAGGATTCTTTTCCTCCCACAATAGTATTTTTTATACTGATGAAAATGACATGAATTGTCAGACAGCTGAGGAAGATCAATGAAATTGTTATTTTACAAATCATTTTGATTCAGTTTGCATGTTGAGCACGGTCAAGTATCAAACTACTTAACTTGCTCGCCCCAGCAGTTGTACCCTTAATTAGCTCTAATGTCAGTTGATGTAGTACGGCCGGCCATGCAGCTGTGGTAACAATCACTGTGTTATAAAAGCGTTATGCACGATTAAAGTGTGGCACAGAGTAGTTAAGCACTAATGGTGTTTCATGCGAAGCTGCTGAATTTACTAGACCAAATAACAACCTGACGTCCATTAAGTTTGTAGCATCATTCATTGTTCCTGTTTGCTTTAATGTATTGTGTGTTTGATTTGTATTTGATTGTCGAGAATATAGAGTATATAGTTAAAATATGTAAAAGATTTTCTTAATGATTTTTATTTTCTCTGCAAATTCTGGAGTAACACTTGAAAGGGTTATTCATGTGTTTGACCCAGAATACATCATTACTGCACATTTCTAATAGATGACTTTAACAAAGGCAACTAAAGGAAGTAAAGAACAACAACATTAAATAAACTTTCTGGGGCCATTTCAAGTACCTACCCCAGATCAGTTACTCCGTTGGTTCCTGAAAATGGTCCTCTTGGCTGGCTCGCTGAAGTGGAAACGCGCATGCTTTGAAGTTCTGGTAAAATTACCCCGAAGGTCAGATAGTAGAAACGGCCCTATGGAAAAAAGGCTAAAGTGACATGTAGTGCTTTATAGAAAGGTCCACCATAATTCCATAAAGTCCCAAAACCTCACAACACATTCTGAAATAAAACAGGTCCAACTTTTGACCTTTTTGTCATTCCAGAATAAAAACCTTTGACCCTTCCAGTACACATCTGTACTTGTGCTTTTCTGTTGCTGCTGACAGTGCAGCCTGAAGGCACCCCTTAAATTGTTGCTGAGCACGATTCCTGCTTACTTCAACAATCACCCTATTTTACTGTTGGCCCATAGTTTTGGCATTTCCATCCTTCAGACTAGCTGTAATGGAGGTAGGAAGGTCATTGGAAGTGCTTTGAAGATTTGTGAAACTGACAAAACCTTGGCTTAATGTTCACATGGGTGATAGCCTTACAGCTCTTTGTTGTAGTTTGCAGTCTGTGAGGAGCAGTTGTGAGGCTTTACTGCTCTGAGTGAAAGTCAGTGTTTGCCATGGATATTCATGAATTCATTTTTGTTTGTTGTTGTTGTAACATTGAAGGGGGTTGTGCTCTGAAATGTATATATTGTACATTTTACTGCACACTCTAATTATTCTGTCTATATTTATATTTATTGGACAGCAGCTCAGGAGGTAGAGTGGGTTATCCAGTAATTGTAAGGTTGTTGGTTAGATCCTGGCTCCCAGTAGAGAATGCTGCTGTTGTGTCCTTGGGCAAGACACCCAACCCACCTTGCCTGCTGGTGGTGGTCAGAGGGACCGGTGGCACGTGCGTTTGTCAGTCTCGCTTCCATCAGTGCACCACAGGGCAGCCTTGGCTACATTGTAGCTCACCAGCGTGTGAATGGGTGATTGTGCTGTGAAGCACTTTGGGGGGGTTGTAGAACCCTAAAATGACGCTATACAAATACAGGCCAGCATTTTACAGTGTACTATTTTTGGACTCAAACCTGGCTTGTTCATGTTTCACCAGAATTGGTTCAGAAACTGGGCAGATGGGACAGGCCCACTCATGTTGGAGATATTTCATATGTGATGATTGATAGGTCCTCAGTGATACATCATATGTACTTTAAAAGGAGAAGAGACTATTTTGGGACCAAAAAGAACCAACAGATATAAATGCAAATGTATATGTTCTGTCACATCAGACAGTTCACAGATTCAAGACTTAACCCTTTGGGAGCTTTCTATCAACTTACTATAATCATTGTTTAGTCTTACTCTTGTGCAGTGTTTCCCAAACTTTTTTCATTGAAGACCCCCTTGCCCGTGTACAAGACAAGCCAGGACCCCCAACCCCAACTCCCAAACAAATGTGAACACGTTAACTTATTTTCATTCGTTTTTTGAACAGAAAGCCTGCCATCGTTTTTGAGCATTTATACTGTTTTTTGAAGAGTCCGAATATGGTGCTCTATGTAAACATAAACACTAACCAAAGAAAGAGTATATTCACGTCTTACATAAGGAAGAATCAGCATGTTTCTAGTTTTTTAATCTACTCACACTGTTCTTCTCTTGCAGGTGAACCGCTCAAGTTTGACCTCAGGGGACCTGTTCACCACAGGTACTATGCTTTTTCCTTCTAACACTTGAGATATTTCAGAATAAAAACACTTTAAGAGTAAGTCACCCCCTACCACACAGATGTCAGAGTCAAGGCCCGCGGACCAGATGCGGCCCGCGGAGCATTTTTATGTGGCCCGCGAGATAAATATAAAAAATATATTAAAACTGGCCCGCTGGCCGATTTTACCGCATAGACTTCAACTCCCATGATGCTTTGCGGCGTCAGCGCGGAGCCGACGACACCCCCTCCTTTGTGTTTTTTCCGCCTGCTGCCGGTCTCTGCAGCTCCGCTGTCTCAGACAAACTACACTCCTCTCACTCAGCGCCGAGTTCACTCAGCTGTTTTCTGACGTTGAAGCCCAGAAACGGAGATTTTAACCGCTCAGTAATGTGTTCACGACTGAAAGAAAAAGTGTTCCAACTAACGTCCAGGCAGAGCTGATATAACTCCAGCGAGCAGCGACACGCTCAAACCAGCATGACTCTGTGGCTGCTGTCCTGTTTCCTCCCCGACACACAACAACGTGGTCAAGCTGCTCAGACATGTTCATCAGCACAAACCTATGTGAGCACTTGTTGTCATCTAATGTTGTCATTATTATGATGAAGATGAACAAAACAACAGGAGTCTCCTCCTCAGCTCAGATCAACCCCATGATGCAGGTATCTGGCTGGAACAGGTGAGCATCACAGTAAACCAGTGGAACAAACTGAGCTTTAAATATGTTGGTTTTTATGTTCGTTTTCTGCTCCAAAACATGAAAGTTAACAGGTGAGATGTTGCATTTTCATTTAAGATAAAATGATATTTTATTTTGTTGTTGGCCCGTGAGAAAAGATTTAACCTACAGTAAACAGGAAGTGGAAAGGCTGCAGATAGATGAATAGAATAGAAAATCCCTTTATTGTTCCTCAGTGGGGAAAGCTAGACGTCACAGCAGCGATGACACTTATTACAGGAGAAAAAAAGGAGAATAAAAAATAAGAAATATGAATAAACAAGAAAACATAAATCCTGAATAGATTTAAAAAATGCTGATTATACCACAAGTAATGAATACCACTGATGCCTTTTATTTAAAACTGACTTGCTCGTGTGTAATTTGGTTATTCCACATTCAGTGTTAATGCAGAAATATGTTTGTTTCCAAATTTAAAGGTTCAAAATTGCATATATGTTGATGAATAAAAAGTGCAAATTTGCCGTCACTTTTTCAAAAATATTAAGTTTGGCCCTCGACTCCGTCCCAGAGTTTCTTTTCGGCCCCTTGTGAGTTTGAGTTTGACACCCCTGCCCTACCAGATTTTTACTCCACTCCCACTTCATGTTTGACAAATGCACCAAATGCTGTTGCCTGGCAGACCGAGAGGGCAAAGCCACTTACAAATACACGCACACAGGCGCACAACGAAATGGTGACATTATAATGTACCAGCTAACGTCACAGTAGGGCTGGGCGGTCTGGACCTAAACTTATATCTCAATATCTTTTTGCTGAATTCCGATATACAATATATATCTCGATATTTTTCCTCCAGAAAAATATTTACAAGTTAACTCACTTCAAGCTGTCTTGGGAAATTATATTCATAAATCAGTAGATTAAATGCATGAAAATGTATTGATTCTTGTCAAACTTTAACCTTAGTGCCTGTTCTCTGGTACAGATGTCTGTTAACACACACACACAGTTGAGAGCTAGAGGTGTATCAAATGTCCCAAAGGCACTTTTAAATTATATATTTATAATTAATGTAAAATTATTGAAATTTCATCTAGAGGTGGCCCATATTGTATATTTCTTGTTCAGAGAAAAAAAAATCTATAATGTTAAACTAAATTTATGATGATGTAATTGCATCTACTGAAGAGCACATGGGTCATGCACCATGGAGTTATTAGTGGCACGTGCCACCGGTCCCTCTATTTGTCATGCCACATCATTAAAGATGGAGGCACATGCAGTTATGCAGCTATGCCAATGCTTCCATATGGGAAGCAAAGGGCCTGGTAACACTTCCATTCAAATAACCCCACTCCCTGAGAATTCTAACCGAGCCAATCAACACTGAGCAGCGTATGTCACACACCGCAATGCTCAGTTTCTCATAAACAACCAAGAGGGCATCTGAAGAAGAGGCTCTTTGCTCTGTTCTAAATGACTTGGACATGTCTTTAAAACCACAAGAAGCACTAAAAGTTTTTCTTCTAACGAAAGATTTTTGCACTGCGTTTGAGAGCAGGGGGGTAATAGAGCATGGAACTTTTCAGTGTTGTGCATCGGCCGTGAGTATGATTTCATAGCCGTGGCACTAGAATTTCAGGCGTGGCGCAAAGGGGAAACACTGCGTTTTCAGAGATAATGAATCATTTTATCTCTGTTATATATAATATCACATTTGGCAGACTGCTATTTTGGCAGTTTACAGTCGTCTTGTATCTCTGAATCCCACCCTGCTGCCCATTTCAGTTGCGTGAAGGCACCAAGGATACTTTGAAGTTTTTTCTCTGGCCCACAGGCATTTCTGAATGAGAGTGAGTGAAGAAATCATCCAACTCTGGGGGTGTATTTTTTTTTAATTCAAATTCAAAGCCTAAATTAGGTAGCTTATTCAGCCATTGAGCAGTCACCATCCATACAGACAGATGGATATCGCTGCATGGAAGGTGATGATGCACATGTGATGTCACATCCTGTCTTCTCTTGTTACCGCTTCCCTGAGGAGTTGTGCATTTCTCACACTTCTGCTCACTTTTACAGCTATCCCTTGTGGTTTTGGGAGCGTGTGCATATCTCTCTCTTTTTTTTTCTTTTTTTTTTTTTTTGCAAATGTTTGTTACAAAGACTGGCAGATTCACACTGCAGTGGCACGTTCACTGTTCTGTGGTGATTCTGCCATCTGTGTCACTCGAGCTCCTGCAGGCTCCTGACCAAGCCTCCACTACAGATTTTTTCTCCTCTCAAATCAGCATGCCTGCCAAGACAGACCTTAAGAAGGACAAACCTTTGTCCATGTCTGGGTGTGTATAGAGGGACATCTGAGGAGATCTGAGGTTCAGAATGAGGTTGGAATCTGTCTGCTTTTCTATAACAAGAGAGTAAAGCCAAATGTTTTACTCTCCTCGCTTTGTCAGCTCAGCGCTGACCTCTACTTGCTTTAGAGGTAGCTCTGTTTTAACTCTAGCTGGTGCTGAGCTTGCACTTTTCCTTAAAATAATGCAGTAGCATCTAAATGTGAGGATGTTAAGTACCAGAGGTCCACCATGACCGACAGGATGAGGTAGAGGAGAGTCAGTTTCAGCTGGAGGGGTCCACCGTAGGATCTTTCTCCTGCAGTTACCAAGGTGGTTGAGTTAGCGCTAACTTTATTTATCATAGAATGAAGAGTGTTTTAGCTACACTCACCATGGCAACAAAGCTGTGCTGGATGTGTGCCAGCTTCTCTTTATACACCTCAAATCTCCTGTCAGTGTGGACTAACTGTAGCTGTCTTCTTTAAGCATTTGTATCCTTGAATAGTTGCAGTTATTAAGGAAGATTCAACTGCTTGTTTTTGTATTTGACAAGTTCATTAGCTTTATTTTATCCTGCAATCAAAGGCTCAATTAATAAGTGACAAGTCAACACAATTTCATGTCCAAATCAAATTGCCAGGTTTCTGTTAGAAAATGTAGAAATACTTTCTACAAGTGTACTTTCCAAAGTATTCGTTGTTTTACTTCAAAGATGCAGTATATAAGAATATAGTGAGAATTTTACTGTGAGAAAATCCCAAAAGAGTCTAATGTTTCAGTCATTTATAAAGGAAGGTAATACTGAAACATGTTTCATATCCAGCTGGCTGCAGGGACTGTCAGTTTTTCTCCTTTCAAGCCAAAGGAAGGAGGGGAGTAACTACTGTCAACCATCAGTGTGTGTGGGGTCACCGTGTCTCCTGTTTAGCTAGTGCTGCAGCACCGACAATTGTAATTTGACGACGGCCGGCAAAATGCTCCAGAGTTGTTGAGAGAGAGTTGTTAAAGTGGTTGCTGTAACTTTTACCACAGTATGCCATTTTTACTTATTTTCTACATAATGCACCATAATGCACCTGTAAAGTCTATAGAGAATAATTTAAACATAAACATTACTAAAGTTGTTTACCTGTTTGTAGAACCTCTGCTGTTACTTTCTTGTGTCAGATCCATAGCGTGTGTTTTAAAGACGAGGCGACAAAACCGACGTCCTGTTTTGGGTTGGAGACGACCAGCAAATTTCAGAAAACAGATTAGAGTGATTTTATCTGTACATGGTGAGAATTAGCAGCTCAGCTGGAACAGAAAGCATTTCTGGTGCTCAACATGACCACATTCAGCAGATCAAAACACTGTTGCACCTTGTTTGTATAGATTTCAAGCTTTACTGCAGTGGATAACACATTTAAATAAAGATTATCCGTTTACTGCTGCAGCATTTAAAACAAAATCCAGACTAAACTGCATCACTAAGTTTGCTTTTATCTCTGATAAATTTATTTGTATGGCGCAAAGGTTCTGCAACCCCCCCAAGGTGCTTCACAACAAAGTCATTTACCTATTCACACATACATTCACACGCTGGTGATGATGAGTTACACTGTAGCCACAGCTGCCCTTGGGTGAACTGATGGATGAGACAGCCGAGCACTGGCGCCACCAGTTCCTCCGGCCACCACCAAAATGCATGAATGTCTCTTGTTTACATTTAACCACCTTTGTGTCTAACTCCGCTATCATTCTTTTGTCTCGTGTTCTTTCACAGCTTTTGACATCACTGCTCTTGTCTCTGCTTTAATCTATTTTTGTATTTTCTTGAATGGTATTTGGAGACTAAAGAGTGGCCATGTTTGTGTATAATTATTTGACCGTGCTGTATACAAAACAAAGACAATTCAGTATGGAGAGAACTTGCAGAGGAAACACTGTACATTCTGAGCTCGGCCCTCCTGACCTTGGCTTTGAGATCTGGAAGGGATGAAAACCAAGTTAGCTTCACAAGCATCAGGCACCATGGGAAGATTGAGAATAGTCTGACTTGAATGATTGCGCCCTGACTCAGCAGGCAGAACTTTTCTTTGTTTACAGATGGGCTGAGTACTTCAGAGCTAAATAGTTGTGAAAAAGAAGTGGACAGGCAGCTGTTCTCTGTGCAGGCAGGAGGGAAAGACAACTTGTTATGCAGAAAGCCCCGAAACAGTGAATGATGACTCTGACAGACACACTCTGAGATGCTGCATTTTCACTGGCAGAACCCCGTCTAGAGAAAGAGACGTCTTCAAACGTCTTCACATAGCTGTCTGTGCCTGTGGGACATTTAGCCCTTGGGGAGAGGTGGAATCAGTGTTTTATTAAGAAATATGTAGAAGAAGATTATGTTTTGTCTTGCCTAGAAGTGAGTCTCACCATAGATCTGCAACCATTTTATAGCATGGAAGTATGATTAAACTCCTTGCAGGATTTTGAAATGATTTTGCAGTCATGGATTTCCATGTCACTGATTTGTTCTCATGTTGTGTTTTAATTCACAGGAAGTGCACAGATGTGGCATGCTGCATGATCTTTGTCACTGTTATCCTAGGCTACATCGCTCTGGGTACTGTGGGTAAGTTTGCTACTCAGCTGAATCACACAAAGTTTTGTTGTTTTCAGTGAAATGCCCGGTTCTTTATGAGTGGGTGAGTTCAGATCCATAGGATGTGTCACTCTTTGATTACATCAGTAAAGCCTAGTTCACACAGCAGCATTTTGAAATTGTTGGACAATTTTCAAAACATGAGAGGCTTCATATGTGGTGAATAGAAATCACACAGCAAAAACTACTAACCAAGCACAAACCAAACATTTCACGGTCAGACAGGAAATCTTGTAAATCCTCTTGATATCGAGTATGACTAGAGTAAACTAACATGGCTGAGGAGAATCACTCGGTGAGCTTTCGTCACCTTGCCTTCTGACTGGCTGCAGGTCACATTCAACAGGTAGTGGGCTTGTTTGTCCTTGAAGTTGGAGCAAGACAGTCCAACACTTTAAATGTCCCCGACTTATTATCGAAGCGGTCTTAATGTCCATCTGAGCAGAGCTCTCTTAACACACCATACATGGTAGGATTATCTGATAGTATTATTTTTTAGAGCAATTATGGTAATCGGGTTCTTCCTTAAGATTTTCACAAGTGGGTAAATCAGGTAAAAAATCAGCACGATTATCTTTTCATGTGAGCCGGAGCTAAAGGAGCCTGTTTCTGTGGGAAATATATAAATTATCTTCCCTTTGAACAACTTTGTTACGTTTATTCCGTGTTTTTTTTTATCCGATTTTATTTTTTGTGGTTCTTCATCATACGCAGGGCAAATAAAGCTTGTTTTTACCTTTGCTGACATGTTTCGACGTCTACTGCCGCCTTCATCTAAAAACAAGACATCAGAGCTAACGTGTGGAGTCACGTACAAAATCGTAGTCCACCATGACCGACAGGATGAGGTAGATAGTCAGTTTCAGCTGGAGGTGCCCACCTCCAATGTCACCGACATTGTGACATCATAATGTACCAGTTTACATCATAGCATACCTCTTAGCCAATAGCGGTGGCAGATTTAAATTCAAATGCAGTGAAGAGTTTTTACCTGACAACGGCACAACACTGACAGTTTCAGGCAGAAAATTTAAATTTTAACTAAAATGCACTAAAGTGCAAAACTATTGACTACACGTGTTTGCAGCATGATTAGACACGTATTTATATAGTTTATCAGAAAAAAATAGTTGATTTGGGGGTGACTTGCTCTTTAAACACAAACACAGTTTAAAATAGGTGGAAAAATCCCTTTAATATGTTGGGTCATGTTGTGACAAAGCCACCAGAGAATATTCTTTTCACGGTTGTTTTTTACCATTCTTACTATTTTTACTTTGTTTCTTCATGCATAAACCCACATGTTTATTTCTATAGGAAACATTATTTCTGATTGGCTTAATGAACTGTGAATTGGAATGTTTATTATGTGAAGTCCCTTGAGACGACTCTTGTCGTGATTTGGCGCTATATAAATAAACTTGACTTGACTTGACTTGACTATAACAACAAGAGTGCATGGCACATTTCATTTCTGCAGTTTCTCACACAAAAGAAGTAGTGAACCACAAAGTGTGTACAAACGGCATCCCAGTGTTGTGATCTGAGTACCGTCTGTGGCAGCAGGCTGTCAGGAGAATCATGTCTTAATTTAGGCTTGGGGAGGATTTCCTGTTTACCAGTAATTCTGACACAAAGCAGCCATGACAGTTCAGATATAAACCAATATATAAGCACTGAGTTAAAATGAGATAATGATTTTCTCCCACATGCTCCTTATTGAGGCTTGTATGTTGTGTATGTTTGTTTTCTCGTGTTAAGGTTAATGCTTGTATTTAGCCAATATCTGAAACACATTCAGTCACTGTTGTCGGGTTATTTTATTTCAGAGAAGTCAAAACAAATAAATAGCGTTTGTGCCTAGCTGTTCATGAGCATTGATGTTTTACCAAAGTGTATTTCTCTAAGATGTGTTTGGATGAGCACACTCCTAAGACTCAAAATGTCTGATCTGGCTCCAATAAAAAGCTTTGGTTTGCAGCTTGGATCCACGGTGACCCCAGGAAGATTGTCTATCCAACGGACAGCCAGGGTCAGTTTTGTGGCCAGCAGAACACCTCTAATGCGTGAGTGGAAATGAAATATCAGCTTCCTGAATCACCAGACAGCAGAATAATTATGTCATCTGTAGAATCTGTCTGCGTTTTTATTCTTATCTTCAAACTCTAAATAGGCTCTTGACTACTGAGCAGTGCACATTTCTGATTAATCCTGGGAAGTGTTACTACACACCACACTGTGTGTGTGTGTGTGTGTGTGTGTGTGTGTGTGTGTGTGTGTGTGTGTGTGTGTGTGTGTGTGTGTGTGTGTGTGTGTGTGTGTGTGTGTGTGTGTGTGTGTGTGTGTGTGTGTGTGTGTGTGTGTGTGTGTGTGTGTGTGTGTGTGTGTGTGTGTGTGTGTGTGTGCGTGCGTGCGCTGATAAATCACTGCGCTGTAATGGACTCGGATCTGCTTAATCTAAATCTTCTCTTTGTCTGGGTCTTTTTTGTCTTCAGAGACAAAGCCATATTATTCTACTTCAACATGCTGAAATGTGCCAATCCTGTGGTTTTAATTAACCTCCAGTGCCCTACAACTCAGGTAAGAGTCTGAACGAAGCCCTCGCCGTACAATGCTTCTACACTTCTGTCCAGTTTTTCTGCCATGCCCGATTATGTTAGGCTGATTCTCATTTAGAGACTGTGCTGCTTCCTTCAGCTCTGCGTCTCCAAGTGCCCTGACAGATTTGCCACACTCCTGGATGTTTCGACTACCGACAGCTGGGACTATTACAAGCAATTCTGCAAGCGTGGCTTTAAAACTGGCAGTAAGGTTAGTGACAGGTTGCAACTCACTTTTGTTTTTTGTTTTGGTTTTTTTCCAAACTGAAAGTTGGGTAAGTGGTTCAATTTTGTAATATTAATTTCTGAGGAATCCTCTATGTCGGCCATTTTCACCAATTTTATCAAGAGTCGTTGTAGTAAAGAGCTCATTTGCACATGTGTTTTAGAAGCAGGCAGAAGTGAGTTAGCATCCACTCATGAAGAAGAAGAAAGAAGAAAATATCATCTATAGCGCCTCTCAAGATAAAAATCACGAGGCGCTTCACAAAAACAAAAAATTTAAAAATATAAAAAATAATTTGGAAAATTGTTAAAAATATATTTCAAATGAGCAAAAAAAAAGACAATTGTGATTAAAAATGTTAAAGTGAGTGAATAGGAAAGAGGGAAATCAGAGGATCCTGAGGAAGGTGGAATAGGTGGGGAGAGCAGAATAAAGAGAGAGGGGTTGAAGAAGGTCATACAAAAGCCAGCTTGAACAAGTGAGTCTTCAGCTGCTTTTTAAAGGAGACCACTGAGTTCACTGATCTCAGGCTCAGGGGGAGAGAGTTCCAGAGTCTGGGGGCCACAGCAGCAAATGATCTGTCACCTTTGGTCTTTAGCCTGGTGCGCTGCACAACCAGTAGGCTTTGGTCACTGGACCTCAGGGACCTGCTGGGGGTGTAGGGACTGAGAAGATCACCAATGTAAGATGGTGCTTGTCCATGTAAGGCCCTATAGACCAGAACCAGGATCTTGCAATGAACCCTGAAGTTGACTGGCAGCCAATGAAGCTGGAGGAGAAGCGGGGTGATGTGGGTGTGTTTGGAGGACTTGGTCAGAAGCCGAGCACAGGCATTCTGAACCACCTGCAGACGGTTCAGGGAGGTTTTGCTCAGACACGTGAAAAGAGAGTTACGGTAGTCTAAGCGTGAGGAGATGAATGTGTGGATAACTGTCTCAAGTTCAGAGCGGGACAGAATGGAACTCAGCAATGTTCCTGAGATGGAAGAATGAAGAGCGAACAAGAGAACTGACATGAGAATCCAGGGTGAGAGCTGGGTCAAAGGTCACGCCAAGATTCCTGATGGAAGATTTGGTGTGAGAAACAAGCTGACCAAGAGTGTCTCTGACTTTGAGAACCAGCTTGTCTGGGGCACAGATGAGGATCTCAGTCTTATCTTCATTCAGCTGAAGAAAGCTCCCAGCCATCCAGGTTTTGATAGAGTCTAAGCAGGAGTGTAACAGCTGCAGCTTAGACATCTCATGGTGCTTAAAGGAGATGTACAGTTGGATGCCATCTGCATAAAGATGGTAGGAGATTCCTTTGAAGGAGCTCAGGATGTGCTGAAGAGGAAGCAGATAGAGGAGGAAGAGGTGAGCCCCCAGCACAGAACCTTGTGGCACACCGTGGGTAAGGGAGGTGGTGGAGGACCTAAACTTGGAGACGGCCACAGAAAAGGAGCGCTCAGAGAGATAAGAGGAGAACCACTCCAGAGCAGATCCTGATAGGCCTACCCAGTCTCTCAGCCTCTCCAGTAGCAGGTGGTGGTCATCAGAGTCAAAGGCTGCAGTCAGGTCCAGCAGGACCAGAACAGAACAGTCCCCTGCATCACTGTGAGTCAGAAGGTCATTAGAGACCCTATGAAGAGCTGTTTCAGTAGAATGAGCTCTTAGAAAACCTTACTGGAAGCTATCATAGATGTTATGTTCATCAAGAGTAGCTGTGAGTTGTTTAGCCACAACCTTTTCCAAGATCTTGGAGATGAACGGAAGTTTATAGATGGGTCTGAAGCTGCTATGGAGAGAGGGGTCAAGACTCGGTTTTTTAAGAAGCGGGTGGATTACAGCGATCTTAAAGTAAACAGGGACCTGACCAGAAACCAGAGAAGCATTATTTATAGAGAGCACGCTGGGACCGATGGACTGAAAAGCACATTTAAACAAAGATGAGGGTAAGATGTCTAGGGGGCATGCAGAGATCTTCATAGAGTTAACTATTTTGGTTAACTCAGGGAAAGAAACAGGAGCAAAGCTATCTAGGATGATGGGCCTGGTTGGAGTCGGGAGAGGCAGCGATCAGGCTGAAGGAGAGATGCTAGATCTAACCTTATTGACTTTGTCCACAAAGAAAGACAAAGTTCTCACAGTCTGCAACAGAGTGGATGGAGGTTGTAGGAGAGGCAGAAGAGACGATGCTGCTGATGGTGTTAAACAGCACCTTAGGGTTCCCTTTGCTCTGGGACACCAGGTTGGAGAAATAGGAAACCCTAGCATCTCTGACTGCAGAGTTAAAGGATGTCAGAAGATCCTTTAGGTGCAGCAGATGGACGTGGAGATGGGTTTTCTTCCACAAGTGCTCAATTTTTCTGCATTGGCGCTTTAGGCTGCAAAGGCTGTCATTAAACCAGGGAGTAGGGTTCACTGCAGGAACTGATCTGGTTCTGGCAGGACAGATGTTGTCCAGAATGGAGAGGCAGTGCTCGTCAAACTGAGAAGTTAAGGAATCTGGGTCGTTATCAGAAGAACAGGGTGGATAAAAAGCAGCAGAAAATTTTCTAGCCGTGCTCTCATTAAGAAAACGAGAACTAACCATACGGCGAGCAGGAGGTGGGGACGCAGAAACTGACAAGTTAAAGAAAATGCAATGGTGATCAGAAAAATAAACGTCCTCAGGACAAACACTGTCAGCATTTAGACTCAGGGTAAAAACAAGGTCTAGAGTGTTCCCCCTGGTGTGTGTGGGGCCAGAAACATGCTGGGTAAGTCCAGGCTGAAGGAGTCCATAAGGCTGGAGAAATTCATAGCAAAGTGATCAGAGGGATCATCGACGTGGATGTTGAAGTCACCAACAATCACCAGTCTGGACAGCTTCACAGTGGAGGATAGAAAGTCACTAAACTCCTGAAGGAAAGAACTGTTTGGACCAGGTGGACGATAAACCACAGCACAGTAGAACGGGTCCTTATGCCCAACTTTAATCAGCTGCAGTTCAAAGGAAGCAAAGTGACCAGAGGTTGTAGAGCTACATGGAAGATGGTCTCTGAAAACAACAGCTAGGCCTCCACCACGAACAGAACCCCGGGACTGGCCAAGAAAAGAAGAAACACTCGGGCAGAGTTCAATTAGACCAGAATAATTAGATGTTTGCTGCTTAACTTCAGTCAGAAACAGAAAATCCAGGTTTTTTAGAGAGAATTAGATCATTGAGCAGGAAGGACTTATTGTTAACAGAGCGGGTATTTAATAGAGCCATGCTGAGTGAGGTGGAAGAATCAGAAACTACAGAAACAGCTGGAGTTAGTGGACGTAAATTAGCGGGGTTAGATCCACGGTGTTTATAAAAACCACTTATGGAGGGAACAGGAGGAGAAACCACTACAGAAGAGGAGAGGATCGCAGACAGGAGCAAGGTGGAAAAGAGGAGGTTAGTGGAGAAAAGTTTGAAAAAGTGGCCGGTGACTGCGGCTAAGCCAAGCACAGGCACCAACTCTAACAAAATTTACATGCTCACTTCAGCCATGTTCTGTTGACTGGCAGCGACTCAGCGCTAATGACGTTAGCATGACGCTGTGGAAGACTCAGACAGGTGTTGTGTGTGGGAGCAAGTTGCTGCTCAGTCAGACTGAATCATCCTTTTTTTTTCCAAAATTCTCGCTAACGCAGTTTCACCAAACTTTCTCAGATACAACCTTGAGGTCTTCTCAGGATGTGTTACAGTATATTAGTAATGATTTAAAAGATGTCTGATATTTTTGAGTTTTGAAGATGAACGACAGATTCATAAAAAATGAAGATTGATAGTTATATTTAAAGCATGACATCCTCCACTTCCCTTTCAGTCAGTTGCAGATGTCATCCGTGACGAAGACTGCCCATCCATGATTGTGCCAAGCAAACCATGTAAGTGGATCAAAGTGACTGTAACTGTGATCAGTAAAGTAAGTTGTTTCCAAGAAGTTTAAATTCAAGCAGAAGTGTTCCCAAAAATGTGTTGTAGTCCTTCAGAGGTGCTTCCCTGAATTCAACACAAAGGATGGGATTTTAAGAGTGGCCAATCAGACCACCTTTAAAGATGGCGACAATAACAAACGAAATGTCATCGACCTCAGAGATGCTGCCAAGTAAGACCTCCTTCCAACAGACACATCTTTGCCTCGATCATTCATCTGATTATACCTTAGGAAAAGTTGCAACCGTTAAATGAGATCTAAACTCTAACACTGTCATTAGGTCATGAACTCTGCTTATGGAACTCTACAGTTCTGTATTTGCTGTGATCAAAGGTCGTTCACAATATCATGCTATGATTTTTTTTGTGTGCCTGTCCTGCCCCGCAAGACAGAACTGAAGGGACTCCTAGCAAAACTGTAATCACTCATGACTTGTTCACATCACACTACTTTTAGTCCCTTTTCTGTCAATGTTAGCTAAAATGCAATAATCTGGTGCCCCCTAGTGGTCAGTGAATGCACGGCAGCTGCTGACTATGATTCATATTTACAGCCATTTAAAGAGGTCATATCATGGAAAATCCACTTTTTTTACAATGCGATATTGTTATTTCCTCATGAAAAAAAAAAATTTTTGGCTGCAGTCATGCATTTTCTTGTTTTAGCTGCAAATTTTGAGTTACTTTGAAAATCCTGTAAAACATTAATGTAAATTAATCCCGTCATCAGGCCCTGCTCCTCTCCAGCTAGTCTCTGGTCTGTAGCAGACTTGGTAGCCCAGTGGTAAGAGTGCCATGTTAGCATGCAGTTTTGTGTAGGTTCACATTCCGATCTCAGCAGTAACTTTTCTTTCTTCCTTCTTCGGAACACTTGCCAGTATTATGTTTTCAACCCTTTATTTTTAAACAGTTTTAAAAGTTAGGACTAGTCTGTTTTTTTTTTGTTTGTTTGTTTTACTTTGTTTGTTTATTTAGCCAGTGTGAGTCCATGGGAGGTGAGCCGAGTAAATCAACTAAAATGTTGCTTGGAAATGACCAAAGTCAAAGATGTTTAGAGACACTAAATACTTAGCAGAAAATAATCAATAAAGCTAAAATGTAAAAACATGAAATTTGCTTCAGCTGACTAAATAAATTACTGCCGACACCACTGGGAGTCAAACCTGTGTCACCACATTGGGAAATCTGAAATATCTGGTAGAGGCCCTAACCACTGAACTACCATAGTCCATACAGCAACTGACTCAGACGCTGTTGAAGGCACGTTTTGTCGGAGCGGGTGTGGGCGGAGTTTCACTAAAACAAATGATCTTACTTCCAGGTATAAATTCAGGCTGACAAATAAATAACTTGCATTTAAGATAAATGACATCTCAATAGTGCCAATGATAATGTTTTATCATATAATGTGCCTACCTGTGTTCTCAAAGGTTTAAAATAGCATGATCTGGAAACTCGAAGGAGCAGGCTAGCTTAAAGTTCAGATACTTTTCTGCTATTTTGGCCTCCGTCTGTAGGAGCTGTTGCTGTTTTTACTAACACTTGTATTTTCAATTTAACGGCCTCATATGTATTCTCTATGAACCCTCTCTTCCCACATGCTCAAAAGATGCTCTTAAAGGAGACCTAGAACATTTTCCTTGTTTAATAAAGACCGCTTGGGTAGTCAAAAGTAGCATGCCAAAAAGTCAAGGCCATGTGACCTATTTTTATATAAATTAGAAAGTTGAAAAGGCGAGAGAAAAACTGCTTTTCTGATCTAGCTTTCCTAGTCACGTCATCAGGTAACCACTCCTGCCACAGCTACATGTTCCAGCCCACTTCAGCGTCAGTTTTCTTTTTAGAACTTTATTGAACAAAGTATACAAAATCACAAAATGTATACAAAATTGAACACAGAACATGTGCAGGGGTGCAAAAACATCAAATAATTTATACGTAGTGTAAATATTAATTGTTTTTAAAGCCTTTTTGTTAAAAGATCCGTTAATCAATGTTATATAAGGCTTGGGGGGACTTACTGGAAAACCCTGACTGTAGTTTAGTTTCTACTTTAACTTGTTTTTCTTCAAATATCCCAACGCACACACACACACCAGTGGAGTGGGCAGGGAAAACAGGTCTTTTTATAATGAGCCTTGCATGTTTTAGTTAGCCATTTCTCAGGGCACCTGGGACATTTTAAACTTTACATGCTTTATAGAGACTCAAAAATCTGTTTTTGATTACTGATGAACTGCATTCTAGGCCTCCTTTAAAGCTGAAAATGACCAAAGCTTTTTGACATTGTTTCAATCTTTGTTTTACTATGAGAGTATCAAGGATACTGTGTTTCTGAGAACATAATTTTGTCCTGATAAATTTGTATTTTCATTTGCTACCTGACTACAGTAGCATGGGCAGTCTGTTGAATGCCAAAGAAGTTGGCATGAAGATCTTGGAGGACTTTGCAAACTCCTGGATATTGATCCTTTTGTAAGCATGGCTTCCATTTTCACAGCTCAAGATGTATTATGAATTTTGTTTTTCTCTGAGGGGACAGAAGATTGTCCCCATTGGTGTTATTAACAAGGAAAATGTTTTTTCAGTATATTCCTGCATATTTTTTTCTTTATATTGTGTCCTGAATGCCGATATGCAAACATAAATCACATGTTGAAATCCACCCCACTGCTTAAGGAGAATATGTCACTAGATAATATGTCTGTGTGTTGCTGCAGAGGCCTGGCAGTAGCCATGCTGGTCAGTGTGCTCTACATCATCCTGCTGCGCTACATTGGAGGGGTGATAGTGTGTCTGTCTCTGTGTGGAGTCATCACTGCGGTTGGCTACGGTGAGCGTGCATGCACCCTCTTCACCTTGACGATGGTGGAAACGTTTGGCTTTTAACCGCTCTGAAAATCAACCGTCTCATCGTGATTCTGTCCCTCTTTGTCCTCCTCTCAGGTATCTGGAGCTGTTACGGGACGTACAGCACTCTGCGCAAGAAGCCATATGACACCATCTCCGACATTGGCTTCCAAACAGATCTCAGCGTTTACCTCGAGTACAGACAGACGTGGCTCATCTTCCGTACGCTGTCATCAACCTCTGTTGTTTGATTTAATCTGTATATTTTACAATGTGTTTATGATTTCTGTGGAACAACAAAATAACTGTGATGATATGTTTTCCCTTTTGTTATGAAGTGACCTTGCTCATTATGGTTGAGACCACCCTGGTGATTCTAATGATATTTCTTGGAACGAGGCTAAGTATCCCTGTTACTCTGCTAAAGGAGGGCAGCAGGTCAGTGTGATTAAAAATGTTCCGTTCCCTCATTTCTACATTTTTGACCCTGTGATTTATTCGCACAATGTTTATGTCATTTTTAGGGCCATCAGCCACATCATGTCGACCCTCTTCTACCCCCTCATCACCTTTTTACTCCTGGCCATCTGTGTCTCATACTCAGCTGTCACTGCTGTGTATCCTTGGAAGTGTTAAGACGCTGATGTCTTGGAGTTGTGCCGCTTTTACAGTCCGTGGGAGATTTGCTGTAGAAGCATTTATTAGGATTATCCACATGATCAGATTGGGGAATGCCACGTTGTGCTCACCTTGACTTAGCATGCCTTCAGCTTCTTGGCATCTTCAGGTGAAGCGGTCTACAAGGTGACAGCAGCTGATGATCATTGCGTGTATGCAAACCTCACTTGCAGTCTACTGGTCAGTCCCACACTCACATGAATATGCTTGTTCTCAAGAAGTCATTTCTTTCTGCTGCTTGTTTTACAATGTCGTGTTTTTATTGAGCAAAAATCTGGTTCTTCTGTTTCTAAATGTGTAATTTTCTTCTCTTTTCCCTTGCCGTTCCACATTAAGTGTCACTGTACTGAAATCAAATCTGTTACTTCATTTCAGACCTTCAACCAGACCAATGTTACCAAAGTTTGCCCTGGAGCTCGGTGCATGTTTGCTTTCTACGGTGGGGAGAGTGTGTACCACCAGTACATACTGGTCCTCCACCTGTGTAACCTGTTTGTGGTTCTGTGGCTGGTCAACTTCATCTACGCTCTGGGCCAGTGCACCCTGGCAGGTGCCTTCGCCTCCTACTACTGGGCGCCAAGGAAACCAAAAGACATCCCTCCGTTCCCACTCTATTCTTCATTCAGCAGAGCCATACGGTGAGTTTTTGAGATTAACTGTTAGCAAAATTCTGTTTGTGTTATCAGCATTTTATAATGTTTTTGCCTGCATGTGTGTATTAATTTATATTTTAAAAATGTCTCACCAACCACAGTTTTACGCATATTGAGCTTAATGTTATATTGTAATAGGTGAGTCATTCTCAACACAACCTCCTAAATGTGAATTATTATGCGTAATGTTATTGTTAGTGTCAGTCACCGCCTTACCAGAGTCCTACGCCATACAAATTTGAAACATTTGAAAAATGTGCCACAAGGGGGTGCTTGCCTTGAAGACTAGTCAGTCAGTCAGTAAGAGGCTGACTGACAAGCACACACTAACAAACACACACATGGAGAGCAGAGAGATGCTTTGCTCCAGCAGCACCTCCCGCTCTCATGCTCTTTAGGCCTAGTCCACACGTAGCCGGGTTTTTTTAAAAAACGAATATCCGCCCCTCCAGAAACTTGCATCCACACCACCTCGTTTTTAAAAGAAACTCTGTCCACACGTATCCGGATAAATACGTTGTTAAGGACATGCCAGACCTGTAGGCGGCAGTACTTCCCCCGTTCTTAACCTCGTCCTTCGTCTGTGGTCTTCCGCAAGGAGCAGTAGTTCCGCTTGCAAAAACAAACAAGCAAAAAGCGCTTGGACAATTGATAAAGCGAGCGCAGCTCTGAGGGCATCCATGCTGTCGGCTAGTGTAAACACAGGTCGCACACTTGATGTCAGCATTTGTTTGTCGCAGAAAGTGACGTTGCGGACCTTAAAACTCCGGTTTTGTCTGTCCACACGTAGACACCCAAAACGGAGAAAACGCAGATCTTCACTTTGGCCGGAGTTTTTAAAAAGATCCCTTTTCGTGTGAAAAAACTCCGTTTTCGTGTGGATGACAGGCCAAAAGGTAGAAAAACATCTACGTTTTGGCAGATCCCCGGCTACGTGTGGACCGGGCCTTAGTATTTTTAATTCCAAAACTTGACAGGATGTCCAGACAGACCTCTGAATCTTTCTGTCAGAGCTGCGTCTCAGGAACGTCAACACACGATGCTCACCTCCGCTGACTCGGTGACATGGGAGGCTGGTTTAATGGGACATGATCGTTGTCAGCCTTTGCCTGCAATGTGAGCCTAGCCTGAAACACTCATTTCTAAAGTTTATTATCAAAAAAAAAGTTGATTGGGAGGTGACTTGCTCTTTAAATTGCTATAACATCATCTATGTTCCCTTTCAGTCAGTCATCATCATCTATTTAAACTCTAATTTTAGTCTGCAAATGCCTGGAATGAGTAAAAAACCTCTCGTCTAACAAGAGAGAGAGTCAACATGACACATAATCGCTACAAGGTGAAGAAGGATGAACAAACTTAAATGCTGCAAAGCTTTTGATTATTTTAAATGCTAAAATTAAAACCAGTAGGGAAGTTGATGTAATTGTAACACTCTTCTATCTTCCCGTGTTAGTTATCACACAGGCTCTCTGGCGTTTGGTTCTCTGATCCTAGCTTGGGTGCAGGTGGTCCGAGTTGTTCTCATGTACCTGGATCACAAACTGAAAGGCAAGTTGTAACTCTGACTCACTGATATTCTCAAAGTATGAAAAAAATTGTTATTTTAAATCAAATGTTGTTGGTTTCTGTTTTTAAAGGGATATTCTACCAAAATTGAAATTTTTGCCTGTTAACGTATTTATCAGGTTTAGATAAGTGGGGAAAAAACTATTTTTAACCAGCCCAGTCATTCTCCTGACCCGGCTGTACTCCTTTTGCTTTAGCGTAGCATAAAACACAACATGTGAATGGATCCAACAAGCAATGTGAGGAGAAAAAGTCCTTAATCACTCAGTAGTTAACCCAAATTTGCTCGGTTACCTAACTGCAAGTGAAAATAATTATTAGCATAAAAGAATCATAGGTCCCATTTTAGACTTGGGACTACTTTATGACAAAGCACAGCTGTAAGCATCCACTGAAAGGTGCAAGACAGCCCCAAAGACACCTGCTTCTATAAACACAGATGCACACATTGTTAGCGACACACACAAAAACAACATATATAACAAGTAGTGTTTCTATGGCTCCAGTGGGATTTTATTCTATTAACCCTCCCACTGTCCTAATGGGTGTGACCCCACGAGGAAAGTTGACCATTGAGCAGGATTGATAGTTTATCCCTTGAGTTCCACGTGGCAGGGGTGAGGTGCTGCTCACTCCTCACCCCTGCCACATGGACCCAAGGGATAAACCATCAACCCTACTCAATGGTCAACTTTCCTTGCAGGTCACACTCATTAGGACAGTGGGAGGGTTAAGTAAGAGAAACTTTATTGTCTTTATCTGAGTGGATCTATAAATAATTCAACACGTGAACTAGTAGTAGCACATTCAATGTCAAAGAATGTAAAATGTTATTATCAGGAGAGGGAGAATGTTAAGTGGTTAGCAGCAGTGGGCCAGCCGATGGACTCATCCATCAGGCCACCATGGCTCAGCAGAACACCACTGCAGCTTCTTCTGAGGAGAAAAACACTTAGAAAATAAAGTTAATGGCTGAAATAGCAGGGAATTATGTAATTAGGGAAAAGTGGTAGAAAAAAGTAGCAGTGTGTGGAAAGTCATCAGAATGTCCTCCAGCAGTCTAAGCCAATAGCAGCGTAACTACAGAGATTACTCTGGATAACTTTAGATGGAGGCATATTGGAGGCAGGGCAAGGGAGAGCTGTCTTTACCAACTGTATTCCCCGGTGTACACTCTACATCCCTCTACTCCCCCACTCGTCCAGATGTGGGCTAACATCAGATTTTAACCAAAAGCCCAATAAAAATAAGTTTTAAGCCTAGTCTTAAAATTATACAAGGTCACAGACTAAAGCTGGGAGCTGGTTCCACAGGAGAGGAGCCTGATAGCTAAAAGATATGTCTCCCATCTTATTTTTAGATATTCTGGGAACCTCCAGTAAATCTGCAGTCTGAGAGCAAAGTGCTCGGTTAGGAACATATGGAACAATCAGGTCACTGATGTATGATGGAGCTTGATTATTAAGAGCTTTATATAAGAGGAGGATCTTAAAATCTATTCTGAATTTAACACTAGAACTCCCAGAAAGCCACCAATTGGCTCCACCCCCCTCGATCTACCAGCTGCTTCTGCCTCTGCTCGTAAAGACAGAAGTTCACAGATCTTGTTGTCACTCCAATTAGCCATGTCTGCTGGTTTTTTACTAACTTTCCCATGCGTACGTGGTTTATATACTCTTTGTAGTCGGGGGTCGCCGCACATTTGCTACGTCATTTGACATCTTCCTCTGTTGTGCCAAGGCGCACTCGCTGTTTATGGGACAGACAATTACTGCAATATTACTACCAAGTGAGGTGCAACAAATGCAGCAAAATTTGCACAACGCCATGCCAGCATGGCGTGTTTATAAAACGCACTGTTGCGGTAATGTTACGCTGATTTGCCGGCACAGTGTGTCTTGTAAAAAGGGCTTGTGAGTCACTATACCAGCCGGGCTAAAAGAGCTAAAGAGGCAAACAAAATGAGGCCAACCTAAATGACAGAATTTTCAAGGTCCCCGACATTCCTCCACATTCCAATGGGCCAGTTGTCTGTGCTCTGCACAGATTAATGGCTACATTTACAAATGAAAGGCAGCTAATTGTCTGACTGAGTTGTGATTTTCAAACCAAGGAGCCATTTGGCTACCTCTGATAGAGCTGAGGGAGTCAGAAAATCCTGGTAGTTTTTTAACAGGTAGCCAATGTAGGGAAGCTAAGACAGGAGAGATATGATCTCTTATTTTAATTCCCATCAGAACTCTAGCTGCAGCATTTTGGACAAGCTGAAGATGTTTAACTACATTCTGTGGACTTTCTGTTATGAATTACAGTAATCCAGTCTTGATGTAATAAATGCACAAACTAGCTTTTCAGCATCACTCTTGGAAAGGATGCTTCTAATCATAGCAATATTCCGAAGGTGGAAAAAGCATCATTGTAACATGTATGAAAGTCTGACCTGGTAGGATTTGAATGACATGTCCTGGTCAAAGATAACACCGAGGTCCTTTACTTTGTTCTTGGAAGCTAATTTAATGCTATTCAGATCAGTGAGTTTCCTTTTTTAAGGTTCTGGTTCAAAAATTATAACTTCAATCTTGTCTTTATTTAAAAGCAGAAAGTTTAGAATCATCAAATTTTTTATGTCTTCAAGACAAACCTGTAATCTTACCTAACCGATTAGGTTAATCTGGGTTTAAGTAAGTAAGTAAGGAAGGAAGGAAGGAAGGAAGGAAGGAAGTAAGGAAGTAAGTAAGTAAGAAAGTAAGTAAGTAAGGAAGGAGATCTTTGATATAGATAAAAGATAAAAATCATGAGGCCTTCACAAAAAAATTTTCATAAAAAAATGATTTTTTTAAACAATCAAAAAATTATGTTTGAAATGACAACAAATAAAAAATTGGGATTAAAAATAATGTAAGGAAATGGAGAGCGAAAATGAATAGAAAAGAGGGAAGTCAGTTGTGAGGGTAAAATGAGGTTCTTACATTTTATTTAATGAGCCGGAAGGCGTGGGATTCCATAGAAAATATGAAATCCGCCTCACGGATCGGGGTTGGTTAAACCAGAAGATCGGGTCTTTTTAATGCAGAGATCATGTAACCGTTATGTATTCACTCAGAGACAAAAAAATAGAATGAGTCAAGTTTAAAAGTTAAGAAATTTTATTACTAACGATTAAACTGGGCTTATTTAAGAACCAAGTGTATAGTGCGACTAAAAATGGATGAGGCGGTGAATGGATGACGTGTCATGTAAATCAGAACCCGCAAATCCGAAGAAGCGATTAGTTCTGACGGGAACTGAAGATGTTGGTTTTAAGCTGGGGTTCGTTTCAGAACTGCATGAGACACCATTAAGCCGCGCCTACCTGCCTGGTGGAAGTCCTCTTGTGAGGTCAGGAATGCAGAGGTCCCAGGACCCTCTCTGGACACCGAGCTGGTAGCAGAGCTGCGGTTCCGACCAGACCCATCTCGAGATACTGCCAGCACACGACTCTTTTCTTGGCGTCTGTTCAGACCCAGCCTGGGTCTATGGAGCACTTATTCTGAAAGGAGCTGTTGTCGTTGCTTGTTGTTATAGCGACTGGAGTTTCTCAGCTTGTTTTGGTTCTTTCGGTTGAAGAGTTGAAAGTTGAGGATTGGCCACTCCGTAACTTAGCTCTGGAATGCTTGAACTAAGGTTAGAGCTGACGTGGCATCTGTTTTATACCTCGGATTATTGTCGAATGAAAATGACCAAACACCGTCAGAAGCACGCCTCTGTCAGATCTGTAAGATTCTGATTGGATCAGTGAAAAGAATGTGTTATGTCTTTTTAACACTACGTGAAATGAGTCCTGTTGAACCATTTAAAGTTACATTACTTCATTCCTAAGATCACAATAAAATAAATAATATTTTAATTTCACAGGTCGGTCACATCTTATTATATTGACTAACACTTTGATGGATTAGCTTTATTAAAATAGAGTTCTTTGATTAATCAAAATAAAAGAGTTCATTCTTGTTTCATCTGTCTTCATGCTGGAATGTAAACAGTTTAGAAACGACTGTATGGCCTTCAGGCTGTTTCAGACACACTGACACTGTGTCAAAAGGAAATAGCTGTTAGTGTAGAAATGGCTCCTTCATCACGCTACAAAGTGGATCCCGGGAAAGGCGGAATAGATAGAAAGAGCAGAATAAGGAGAGGGTGGTGATGAAGGTCACACCAAAACCAGCTTGAACAGGTGAGTTTTCAGCTGCTTTTTAAAGGAGTCCACTGAGTCCACTCATCTCAGGCTCAGGGAGAGAGTTCCAGAGTCTGGGGGCCACAGCAGCAAATGATCTGTCACCTTTGGTCATTAGCCTGGTGCTGCACTACCAAAAGGCTTTGGTCACTGGACCTCAGGAACCTGCTGGGGGTGTAAGGACTGAGAAGATCACCAATGTATGAAGGTGCTTGTCCATGTAAGGCCCTATAGACCAGAACCAGGATCTTGCAATGAACCCTGAAGTTGACTGGCAGCCAGTGAAGCTGGAGGAGAAGTGGGGTGATGTAGGTGTGCTTGGAGGACTTGGTCAGAAGCCGAGCACAGGCATTCTGAACCACCTGTAGACGGTTCAGGGAGGTTCTGCTCAGACACGTGAAAAGAGAGTTACAGTAGTCTAAGCGTGAGGAGATGAAGGTGTGGATAACTGTCTCAAGTTCAGAGCGGGACAGAATGGAACTCAGCTTAGCAATGTTCCTGAGATGGAAGAAGGAAGAGCCAACAACAGAACTGACATGAGAATCCAGGGGTCCTCTGCGCATAGTCCAGTCACCAGTTGGTGTTCCACTGTAAAGAAGAATGACGTGGAACATTAGTCCTTTTTTGTGCTTGCACCTATTAAATTTTTTTGTCACTTTGAATGCTTCACCCTTCTTTTTGCTTTTTACCATGAGAAAATCATTTGTAACTTTCACTAATGCGGTTTCAGTGCTGTGCTACTCCAAAACCTGGCTGAAATTCCTCAAACAGATCATTAGTGTTTAGATGTTCACATACTTCATTGACCACTATTTTCTCAAGGACTTTTGTCAACAGACAAAACTGAAATATTGAGTGGAACATCGCTTGAATGTTTTTTTCTTTCTTAGGATCTCAAAATTGCGTAGCTCGGTTCCTGGTTTGTTGCCTCCGATGCTGCTTTTGGAGCCTGGAACGTTTCCTCAAGTTTCTGAACAAAAATGCATACATCATGGTGAGCCATTAACCTCCTTTTATAGAGATCCATCTATACAGTTCATTTCCTGCAGTATGTTCCTTATGAGATGCTCTCTTCTCACCTACAGATAGCAATATATGGAAAGAACTTCTGCACATCCTCCAAGGATGCATTTTCTCTCTTGATGAGGAATATTTTGCGGTATGACCATCAACATATATACTGGACAAACAATGTCCAGAGACTCTAATTAAAAGTTTTGTTTCCAAATGGGAGGTTCCCACCACCACCATTTTGACTGTGTCACACATCTCGTCACACCCAGACAATCCAAAAATGGGAAAAGAGGTGGAGTTGAGGGTGGGGCTGTTACGGATGGAACAAATAAACCAGTGTAGCTACTAGCTAACTTGGCTAACTTAAGAAGGGCTCCGGAGACCGGGGAGGCCCACCCAGTGAACCGCCTGGCTTCCATGCGAGGCTGTAGTCATGCTGGTTGCCTGTGGAGATCTAATATGGACTGGGACTGTTAAATTACAATCAGAGCTTCAGATCGCTGTAATCGTACCCAGGCGCTGTGGCCTTTTACATCAGCTCATGCTCCACAGTTTGAGATCAGCGGAACATTAGCAACATGCTAACCCGAAGCTAACAAAGAGACCAGATACCACAAGCGACCAGCATGCTACAGCCTCGCATTGGAGCCAGTCCGCGCGTCCCGGCTGCCCCGAGAAATGGGAACAGCCAGCCACCTGCTGTTCCTGGGCAGGAGGCGGGAGAAGCCAGGTACCCGCTCAAATTTTGTATGCAGCCCCACTAGCATGTTTGGCCAAGCTGTTAAATGACACTGCATTTCCCCCCATTCAACCAGCTAATTAAAATACAGAAATATTAATTTGCAGGGTGGAAGTGCAATTTTTGCCACTTCCTTGTTGGCTTCAGTTCTGAGAGCCTAGGGTTCCCCCTTGGGTATGACCCTCCTTAGGCATTTGTCAGATCTTTTTTAATTAAAATTTAAAATAAAATGCTCTCATTTTAAAAACAAATTTCAATTATCAATTTATATGACAAAAACTAGATTTTGAAACAACATAAAATATTCTTTCTCTTTCAAGCTACAATTAATGTCTGTTTTTTTGTCCTGTCCTGTTTAGAGTGGCCACCTTGGACTGCATCACATGGTTTCTGCTTTTCATAGGAAAACTGTTCATTGCAGGAGTTGCAAGTAAGTTTCTACTTATGCCACTTATGCACTAGCATCGGCTCCACTCTGCTCCCCCCGCCCCAGCCTGGCCGCGTTCTATTTCCTGATTGAGCACATAGACGGTCTGTGGCCTGCGATGTCATTAGCACATCTCCGAGCACGTGGGCGGGGCAAAAGAGTGCGGAGAAGTCTGCAGTGTCTCCATTATTAAACAAAAGCGGCTTGAGCAGTCTTGCTTTTGGAGACTCTCTGACTCTGATTTTGCATCCTGCCTTTCTGTGTGTGTGTGTGTGTGTGTGTGTGTGTGTGTGTGTGTGTGTGTGTGTGTGTGTGTGTGTGTGTGTGTGTGTGTGTGTGTGTGTGTGTGTGTGTGTGTGTGTTAGAACCCTGCACTGAAGCCCTAGGTCCGACGACCGGGCTTCGGGCCAACGACTGTGTAATTACCTCGGACACGGGCCGGGCCGAGCGCCTTTATTTTTAATCGAATTCATTAAAAAAATTGAAACACTTAAAATGCAGCAGTAGAGCCCTGCGCGGGACTGTTTTGTTCATCCCGCTCCCGCTGAATTTCTGGCAATTACCGCCCGCATCTGCATCGTGTGTTACACTCCCGCCCGCACCCGCAGCGTGCATGTCTACTCCCGCCCGCAACCGCAAAACTCGGAGAAATTATTACCTCACAATAAAAGAGATGTATTGAGTTTGTGTCCTCTCTGGTCCTGGAGAAAACATGTCGTTTTATAGGCTATACCAGGGGTCGGCAAACCGCGGCTCTTTCATCCATCTGATGCTGCTCTCTGTGCTTGTAAAATAATGAATGGATATTTAAATAAAATGCTTTATATTTTACTGCATTAATTTCATATCTGTAAGTCAATCCTATGTAAAGATTGTCTGCGTAAACCTGAACAGTTCCAACCCGGTCTTACTGTGAGACCGGGTTGATGCGTCACGCTTGTGCGTAATCATGCGCTTATGAGCTGAAGAGGATATGAGATCCTGGGATTCTCCTCAGTCAGGCTCCTGGATGCGTTGCCACATTGGAGACAGGAACAAGCACTATTCAGCCAAAGTTTCATAATCAGGGAACATTTTCTAAGTGACAAGTCTCTCTGAGAGACAGGGTTTGGAAAACACTCGCTTCAGTGGGAGGAACCTTCCCGCATGCGCTCTGGTTCTGCGATGCGCTCCAAGCCAATCTCCACATCTTCAGCTCGCTGTGCACTTGTGCGCTGACAGCGAGCTGCGCTGAGCAGTGTCCAGCTCAGATGTTCAGATGGGAATCTTTTGTTGGGTGATTTAGCTACATCTGCAATTTAACGAATAAAATATCAGTTCGTCTGCATGCGTCGGGGTAATTCTTTCTATTCTTTCTCCGTCAAAATAAACGGTCAAATACGGCGGTCCACACAAGACAAGCCCTGCTTTTAACTGTTTTGTTTTCTTGTGAAAATTGTTGGAAAGAGATCAAATTTAACATGATTACCACCAGAGCCAGTGCGCCGTTATCTCCGTGACGGTGTAACGTTCATAACTTCATAACGTTACAACGGTAAATGAGAGAAAAACAAATTGATCGGATCCTGCACGTCTTTTAACACATTGGTCAGGAATGGCGCACTTTGTTTTCATTTAGTTGGTTAAAAAAAGTCGGGCTCGGGTCTGGCCAGAGAATCCTGAAAACCTTTTTGGACCGGGTCGGGCTGGGGCTCCATCCCCTCGGGCCGGCCCGGACACGGGCTCAGATTTTAGGCCCGTGCAGGGCTCTAGTGTGTGTATGTGTGTGTGTGTGTGTGAGTGTTCCTCACAGCAGTGAGAGACGGAGGAAAACGGCTTCAGTCAGAGGCTTGTTAACTCCAGAGCATCCAGAATGAAAGTTAATCGTGCACGCGGGAAGCCCCCACGGGCTGATTCTATCCGCCAATCGGAGGCTCTCCCTAATGGTATGCGTGATTGCGTGTGTCAGCCCTGTTCGTTTCCAGGCACTGAAAAGACCTCCGATTACACGCGGGAAAATCCAAGACTACCTAAATTAGAACACTCCCAACCCGGTCCAGGCGGAGTGGAGCCTAGTGTGATGCTAGTGTGAAAGTGCCAATGACCTGTTAAAATCTAGTCCTATTCTGTATTTATTTTTTTCATTAAAGTTGAATTTTCTTACACATTTATACAATTTGTCTTTATTTTTCCCTCCAGGTATTCTTACACTTGTATTTCTACGACTTTTTCAAGAATTTTTGCCAACAGTTAATTACGTCTTGGTCCCCATTGTGGTAAGGAAGTTAAGACATGAGCCTTCTTCTAGTCTTTTAAAGCAGTCTCAGGGTCTTAAAAGCTGCCTCCTTCTTTTATTTTAATCTGACTTAGGTTTGTGTTATTTGTTCCTTGTAATGTTTATCCAGTGAAACAGGAAAGGAGGGCAGTAGATGGATTAACCGTCTGAAACTGTATTCTTTCAGATGGTGATAATTGGATCATACATGATTGCAAATGGCTTTTTTAATGTCTTTTGCACATGTGTGGAGACACTTTTCCTGTGCTTTTGTAAGTACCGGTATGCTTTTTTGTCAGCAGCTCAGTCAAAAGTAACAATAAATGTTTCCTGTTAGTAGTTTTTAGTTTCTACCATTTTCTGTATCTCACTACTTGTTTCTTTTTCTTTCTCACCGTCGATTTGTTCACTGCCCCCTCTGCTACTGCTCCATGGATCATGGTCTCAGGTGAAGACTTGGAGAAGAATGACGGCTCATCCTCCAAGCCCTACTACATATCTCCAGGCCTGCACAAGATCCTCCGCAAAGGAGAGGAGCGTGCCAAATCCTGTGCTTCCTCCTGAGCTGATGTGCAGACATTTCCTTGAATTTATTGACTCAGACTCAATTCTCCATATCTGCTCTGTGTGTAGGCGACCGGATGTTTGAGAGCAAGTACTTTAGGGCTTAACCTCTAAACTGGATGCAACCCAGCCTGGTCAGTGATGAACTGAACACGAACGGACTTTATGCCACTGAAGGTTACAGGCAAAAGGACAGAAAAAATGAAAAAACTTGACTTCCTCTCATGAGCCGACTCGGACACTTGCTTTTTTATCTGCTATGCTTTTATTCATGTTTCTTTTCTCTGTATTCTCTACTGAGGTCTGCCTTACTGAGAGGGCTCACACTGATACATAACATGGATGCACAAGCTGAGGGAAAACTGAGACAGGTGTTTTCGCCCAAACAAACATGAGGACCTTAAATTGTAGATATGCCAATGATGGACTGTGGCTGTGGGTATCACCCTAAAAAGTGGTGAACCATGGGGCACTTTCCTGTTGCACTTTGGTCTTCTAGTGTAAAATGAGATTCTGTTTTCACTCACAGAAATGGTAAAAATGGCCTGTGTTTGAAAGGTAAAGAACCGTGTGATCTATCTCTTCTGTGTAGCATGGTTATGTTGTTGGTTGTTGATGTTCCCTTCAATTTTATAGAGGTTACTTTTAATCCACCATATTTATGCTAACACAAACACATAGCTGTGTGAATTCTGCAAATAGTTGCACAGGTTACTGCTACACAATCATTTGAGAGTTTTTATTTTGCTCATAGATGTACTGTAACCCAGAGACTTTGTGGGAGGTCAAGACTACAATATTCACATGATGGTTTTTGCTTAAACTCTGAACAGAACCTGAGGATTTTCAGGATATTTGAATGCAGCCACTAGTTAATGTGCCTAGTTGTGGGAAAAAAAAGGAAAATATGTTCTCTTACCCTGTGATTTCTAGATCTAACACTAAGAACTTTTAATGTAAAGTTTATAAAAAGGATTTTGAAGCCATTTTTTGGTCATTTTTTAACTGCATCAGATGTGTTTTAATACTCAGAATGATACACACATCTTTCTGGGGGGTATTTGGTGGTCTTTTTGTACAGGGGTATTTTTTTATGTGTGAATCTAATAAACAATGTGAATATTTGTTTTTGAATAAACATTACTGTTTCAACTATTGCCCAATGGGTTTTCATAGGTTTTTATCTGAGATTGGATAATCAACATCCAGTTATTACATCATTTTGATTGTTTAATATTTTCAGTAGTGACAGATCTGGAAGGCGAGGATGGAACTGCACCTGGCCCTACTACATGACCCAAGCCTTCAGCAGTAATGATACAGCAGTGAATTAGAGAATGGCATAAGCCTGTGACTATGAACACGTTGCCAAATGTAATTTAAATCAAACTGCAGTTTAATTAGTTTTTTTCGATTGCGATAACACATTTTTCAAAACTGTTTCTTTCAAAACTGCACACACAAAACCCCAAACATAACACACAAATTCCTAAACCGTGGCTTTGCAACAAAACCCTGCCATCACATATCGTAACATGTTCCCAAAATGGAACACGTGTTTTCATTTGGTAAACACAGCCACATTTTCACATGACACACACATACCATTCATTGCTTAAACACAAGTAGCCTTTGGGTGAACACTACCAAGCATGGAAAGAACACTGAAGAGCAAAACTGAAAACACAATTGACGAAAGGGAACTCAATGATTTACACACTGAATGTATGACAGTGCCCACTTTTCTCTGATACAGACGTCACACAAATTTTGGCTAAACATTTTATTTTTAAACCCCCCACCCCCTCTCCCGTTCAAGCATAATTATGGGGCATCGGGCCTCGTCAACATCACAGGCGATGTCCTCCTGGTCCAAACAGCGCTGGAAGTACTGCCTCGAGTGCCTGATGAAGTCCTGACAGGCCTCAAAGCCCACATCTCCACAAGCCTCCTCCATGGCTTGAAGCAGTGGGACCTGGCTCTGTGGATTCCTTTCGTACACCTTCCACCTCCAGGCTGAGAAAAACTCCTCAGTGGGATTGAGGAAGGGGGAATAAGGTGGAAGGTATAAAACAGAAAACCGTGGGTGGTCCTGAAACCACTCATACACCTGGGCAGCCTTGTGAAAACTTACATTGTCTCAAATTATTATATGGTTGACCCGCTGTGGGTTATCTATGCCATCAGGTTGAACAAGCACATCATACAGGCCGTTTAGGAATTCCAGTAGCAGGGCTGTGTTGTACACCCCTTGGTGGGCATGTTGGTGTAGGACGTCATGGTGGTTCATGGCCACACACATAGTGACGTTGCCACCACGCAGGCCTGGGACGTCGATTATGGCCCGCTGGCCAATCACATTTCTTTTTTTTTTTTTACCGTGTCCTGTCTGGCTGTGAAGCAAGCAGAATTGATGTCTGAATGCTGGTGACAAGCCTTACAGATTTACTCTCAGGTGGAGCATCAAAGCGTTTGCTTTTAATGTCACGCCTGATACTTAAAACTTTATTGTTATTGTTGTTGAATGCATTGAAATTCCGACCAGACACGGAGACAGAGGTGAAAGAGAAAGGAAAGAAAAGGTGGGGAGAGAGAGGGGGGGGGGGGGTGTTCCACAAAAATAAACAATGAACAAGAGTCTGCTTCTAGACCTGCAGAAAGAGAGAAAAAAATGGGACACAACAACAATACAACAAGATCTAGCTATCACTGCGTCAACTTGATGAAGAAAATATATAATCAACATTGCTTAACTGAAGAATCACGATAATAAATCACAGTGCATTAAGTGCCCACCATAGTCTTAAGACCTGTGTTGAACGTGCCCAAGCCCATACTTTTGAGAGCACCATGTGAGCACCTGTGTGTGTACACGCGCTTGTTGATGTAAGGTTTCTCTATAGGAGCGTCCAACAGAGAGTGCGAGGGACCACAGATCCGCCCCCCAAAGATGCGCAGGAGATGGGGGGAGCTCCAAGTCCCAGAGATCCAGGCGCTGCCCCAGAACACAGGAATCCCAAGGAGACTGCAACCAGGAAGCCACCGGGATCTATCAGGCAGATGCCTTAATCTTAAACCCCCAGACCCGGTTGCCACGAACACTCAGGCAGACCATGGCACAACCCCTCACACCAGGTGTGGCAGGGGGAGGGGGGACAAAGATCTATATCATCAAGAGAGGTTCCAGGAGAGGGGAGGAGTCAAAGGCCCCACCTGACATATACAATCATACACAAACACAGTCACACACTCCCTCCCTCCCTCATGCACATACAACCCAAGACTTACAAAAATGCACGCCGGACACCCACTCATGCTCCCCATACACACCCTATTCACTCTGGTCCCGGTACTGCTGCACACTGGGTACAACCATCACCGGTAACCAGAGTTTGACCCTTTCTGCTGGGGTGCTGATGAGCAGGCTCCCCCGCCCAACGCAGAGCACAGAAACCCACCACCCCAACCAGACAGCCAGATCTCCCTCCTAGCCTCCAGCCCCAGGAGGCCTAGCAACAACAGAGGTGGCTAAGACCCCTAGTCTCCCTCCGCCTGCTCCAATATAGTGTTGTGTGATCATGAGGTGTATTCCATGGCTGTGGTGAGTGGGCAGTGCGGGCATCATCCGGCCTATGCCAGCTGGTGCAACCACACCACCCCACTTACACCCTCAACCATCAGTGTCTAAGTGCGGTTTAAAATTGGAAGTGGGCACCGGCACCCGGGAGGAGGCTGAAATATCCCCCTGCCAAATGCCGTTGAATGTGCTCACTCCCAAGGCACTAAGTGTGTGTTTGTGTGGAATGTCGTCAGTGGAAGTGTATAAGGTGCAAATAAAATTGGGGGGCAGGTTGCCACAGGAATGCGGAAATGGGGTCCATACCCGCACTCCCTGACTTGCCCACCCCCCAAGGTCCTATGTGTATGTTTGTGTGATGATGTGAGGGAGCAGGAGGAGAGAAATATGCGGGGATGGGGAGGAATGGCTGGCTGGGCTTAGCCCTCCAGGGAGCCAGCTCCCCTACTGGCACCTCTGTTGTCAAACTGCCACCCAGGGCATGGAGACCCCAGCCCATCCTGCCAGGGTCCAAAGCAGCAGCATTACAGAGCCCCACGGAGTCAGAGGGCACCAACCCAGCCTCACCCCAGCAGAATATCTATACCCATCCCTGCATTTGCACAACTTCCAGAATATATAAGACATGGGACATCCAGGTAAGGTTGGGTCCTCCCCCTCCTGAACCTCCCCCTCCGCTGTGATGGAACGGCAGAGGAGCCAAGGTCTACCTGAGGCCCCCGAACCCGAGCCAGGCACTGCTGCGTGTTCCTGCCTTCTTCCCGGCAGCATACATGTCAGGACCCGACCCCCAAGGCCCAGCCCAGATCCCCACCCGGGGCCGGCCACCCCCAAACCCCGAGCCCCCAGGCCCCCACCCAGACCCGCCCAGGGGCATTGCTGCTGACAGGCAGTGACCCATGGCCGCCGCCAAGCCCCCCAAGGGGCCCCAATCACAACTGCCAGTAGTCCACCCCCCGAGGCAACCCAAGCACCTCCAGAGGAGGGCAACGCCCCCCCAGTCCCAGACAATCACATTTCTTCCCCGGTGCCTCCTTTTTATCAGGTTGAACGCAGCCTCATCTATGAAGATGTATTCATAGCTTTCATTGGCTGTGTCATCATCCTGGATACGCTGAAGCAGACAGTATGAGAATACAAGTTACACTATGGACACAGAGACCGTATGCTACATTGAGACAATGTAGAAAAGGAACACTATTACAGAAGATTACTGTATAGTGGTACAATGCATGCATGTGTCAGTGATGAATGTATGGGACTTACAAGCACATACTCGACGTAAGGCCTTCACACGGTTTGTGTTGTGTTGGAATGGAACCCTGTAGACTTGCTTCAATGTCATTACTGTAAATTTCTGTGAAGTATACGATGTATTGTTGAGATGCTGATTGTGTGGAGATCATTGAAGATGGTATTGTCAGGCAGGACCCTTGTTTGGATCCGTTTTAGTGTGAGGGTTGTGTTTTCACGGACCATGTCTACAATGGCAGTCTCTTGTTGCTGTGTGACAATTGAAGTTCTTCCTCCATGATGAGGTTCTCTGGCCACCCTGAAAAATATTACAGTAATACAGAGTACATTGTAGTGTACTGGTTCCCAAACTTTTCTGCTCGTGACCTCAAAGAGATTACTGTAGACACTAGCCTAAGACCCAAACAAGTGAACTGCACAACTACAAGCTCAACGCATCACTTTGCACTGTTTTGTGAGCTAGTTGCTTTTTTCACTACTTTTTACAGCACATTTGTTTTCTAATGCTGTGTTTCATAGAATTTCTTGGATTTTTCTTTAAATTTCTTCAAGAAATTACAGTACCTGGGAAACAAAAATGACATTTGCTTTTCACAGTAATTCATGGAAATATTTGCTGTCTTTGAATCATTCTCCTTTACTTAAATGTTTTGAAATAACAATTGATACCAAAATGTGGGGGTAAAAGAATAAAGGGACCCAATATGACTGTAACCCACAAATGTGTCCCAAAACACTGTTTAGAAAAAAGTGCTGTAGTCTATTGAATGTTGTATTACAATACACATGAAAATAAATGTCATACCTGTTCTCCATCCTGAACGTCCTTATGATGGTCGACACTGAAACGACTGAGGTTTGGCTGGACCCAGGCCAGCCTCCCTCATGGTCAACCCATGGTTGAGCACATGGTCCAATACAGTGGCACGAATCTCATCGGAGATTTGGACTCTCCTCCTCCTCCTCCTCCTCCTCCTCCTCCTCCTCCTCCTCCTCCTCCTCCTCCTCCTACCCTTCTCCGTGGTCTGTTGTCTCTGTTCTCCATTGTTCATCAAACAAAACCTTCTTCTACTTCTTCGAGTTTAATGACGGGTGTCATCTAACTGCTAGGTGCATTTCCGCCACCTACTGTGCTGGAGTGTGAGTCGGAGTAAGAGCGAAAAAAAAATCTATTCAACAGACCACAGTGCTTTAGATACCCAACAACCAACTTATATTTCCTTTCTTCATCATTTAACAAATTCCTTACAGTCATCACCCCACTTCCTATGTCTTTTAATTTCTCCCTTAGATGTCCCCTACTTCCCTCATATTTTATATCAAACA